AATCTGCCGACGGAGATGAAATGCATGTGATCTCATCTCTGCTTCACTTGAGGTCGTTTTGGGCTAAAGAGGAATTGGCTTTCTGTACTACTTCCGTGGCAAAGTAGTGGTAATGGATTATTGAAGATGTAAACTACGATAATTTAAAACATTTTTTAAATAAAGACTGTAATCAATAAGGATCACTAATACTGTGCTTTGTTTTGAAGGAGCTGAAGCGAAGACTTCTAGCTCTTAACAGAAGGAATTTAGTCTGATGCTGAAAGCTCTGTTATTTTAAAAAAGTATAAAGAATAGCAACAGTCCTGTGCCTCTTGGTGTTGGAAGGAAGATGCTGGCTCAGTCCACAGTAAATCAAATGGAATCTGTAATTTCTGAAAGCAAATATGAATTTCGGATCACATTGACCAGTGCAGGTGTTTCCAAACGGGAGCGTCACGTCGTATTGTCAGAAACAAATTCACTACTTCTCCTTCCTACCAAATGGAGGATAGATTTAGCGTATGAATCGTATATTTATCTTTGATCTGGCAGCTGGAAATTACTATTGAGCAACCCGAAATAACAGAAACGAGCCTTGGTCTAAGTGATGGCAGTTTGCTGAAACCAGGAGATACCCATTGGAAGAGTGATGGCACAGAAGGATTATTGGAGAAAGCAGAGCTGTAACCAGTTAGAAACATTTTTCCCTTTGAACAGTGGTGGCAGTCTGCATGAAGGCAAATTGTGGCATTATCAGTAATCAAATTATTGGCTTCCTGAATAACATTTAGGGCTTGTTCTCCTGACACAGCTGACAGATACAGGGGAAGTATTGTGATGCTTTTTAATAACCTTGTAAGACTTCTTCTTTACTTGGCAGGAAAGGAATTTCTGTTTCGTGGAAGGTGCTTTTTTGGGGTGTGTGTTAAGTAGCAACAAGCAAGGAAAATACTCTGACAAGTTTTGAACCTTGTTGCAGATTTTTATCAAAGTGTTTTACTAATACAGCATACCCTTTCCCCCTTGTGTAGATGTTGCAATAAGTAGTAGCAATGTGATTGGGATAGTTGGCTGTTGGAACATGTGTGAATTTAGTTACCCAAGCTGTCCTCTTTCTGCAGCGGAATGATTATGAAAAACATCGAGTTGCTCCATACTTAATTAGTAAACGTGGCTAAATTGAACCTGTGGATGGGTGGATAAAATAAGTGTGGTGTATGCAACTTTGACCTCTTCTTTTTAGTTAGTTCCTCGTTTGCTTGTTCGTGTCTGGCGGAATCACTTTCTAAATCGTTAATGTGAAAATAATTACTTTGTTTTATCTGTAAAGTAGATGATGTAATTGTCTGAATCGGACATTTTGGTGCACTGTTTTCTGCCCTGGGAGGAGGGTTTCCTAGCTCTGGAGGTGGCTGTTTACCCTGTTGGGCAGAAGGACAGATTGCTTGGGTGCTTGGCTATTTCTACAGACATTCCCAATTAGTCACTCCTGGTGTAGGTAAGAGCACATGTTACTGTGGTGACGCTTCTAAGAGGTGTCATGACCTAACCTGGCACAGCGCTGCCCAGCACCTGGCCTCTCCCTGGGTGTCCCTGTTGGTCCGCAGCCGCACCTCGGCGTGCCGAGGCAGGTTGGCATCAGGGAAGAAATGCACCCGCAGCTCTGGCACTGCGCTGTCTTGCCATGCAGTGGGAAAGGGCTGGGCAAGAGATGTTCTGTACTCCTGGGCGGGAAGCGTTTGCTGCTCACCTGGCTTGTGTGTTCCTTCTTCTTGCAGAGCTTTAAAAGCAATGCCTGCAGGTGCGGATTAGAAACTGCTCTTATGTGGGTGATGGGGGTGCAGTGCCTTAACATACAAGTGGAAGTGACAGTAGTTGGTTGGCAGCTCTCTTGTTCCACCCTGCTGAATGCATCCAAATTTCAAGCCTTTGGGGGAAAGGAGTTATTTCCTGAGCAGCCTTCTTCCCTTCCAGTGAAAAGTTCATGTTCTGAAGCGTTTGAAGCCTCAGGATCTAAGATGATTATTCAGGCCTGCCTGCTGCAGAAGTAAAACTGAGACTTTACGTCTTCAGAATCAACAACAACAGCAATAAACTAGAGAGACAACCAGAGAAGGTGGGGATAGCATGGCTTTCAAAAGAAGAATCAAAGAAAACCTGTGTTCCTGCAAGTATTGATGTAATCTGCAAACAGTCAGTTTGAGAGTGTGCCCCTTCAAATGGGGAGGCTGGGAATGCCGGGTCTTCCGCTGGGAGAGGAGTTGAGGAGGGAGCAGCAAGTGATGAAAATGTAGCTGAAAATCAGTAAGAAGTGAATCTGTTAGAATGGTTTAAGGGGTGAAAACGTATGGTTAAAGGCCCTGATTACATATCTTCGTTATCAAAACCAAACACCTTGTGGAAGAGCTATTCTATTTGGAAAAAAACCAACCAAACAAACCAACAAATCCTTTGGAATACAAAAGAGAAATTGTGCTTGGGAGTTAATTGGAAACATGGGCCTGCCCAGAAAATCTCCCTTCTCCTGTGTTTGTTAGGGAGAAATTAGTCTTGGTAGGGTATCTGGTGTGCTGAGAGGGGTTACAGTTGTTTGAAGCTTGCAGTGATGTAGCGTGTGCTACTGTTGTAATCCCATTCTGTGTTAAGAATACCTGTGATGAAGTATCTGCCATTGACCGAAACGCATGTACTCTCTTCAGTAAGCAGCATTACAATATCCAGATCCCAGATACAATATATACAATATCTGATCCCAGATACAGCTTCGAGCAGCAGTGTTTGGGAAGAGTGTCACCTGCTTTGTAGCAAAACCAGGCTGTAAAAAGGGTTGATTTAGAAAGTTCCAGCAAGATTGAAGAAGGCTAAAAATGAACATTTGCCCAAATAGAAATGGTTATTCCTGGAAACCAGTGTTCTCAACTGAAATATCACTTGAGTCAGATGTTGAGGGCGTTGGGTACTACAGAGTTACTGTGTAAGTCATGGGCTGAGGATGCCAAAGGGCAAGCGGTTGCATTATGCCAATGTTGTGCTGTTGCCCTGTTGGTTGTACTAAAGAATGTGCTTTTCTAAGGTCTAATTTATGGTATAGTAACATGTTTAAGGGTGAGCAAATATTAGCTGATGAAAAAATGTACTTTCTTTCTGTGTTAAATAGTTAATCATAATGTGAAAAAAAACCCCTTGCTTGTTCACTAAGCAGTAAAATCTTTTTTTCTGTACATTTGGTGTGCGCAACTTCATCTGTTTCAGGTAATTAGCACTGCATTAGCACAATATGGCAACTCGTGTTTAAACACAAGGTAATTGACTGTACAGTGTAAACATAGTGGACTAAAGAGCTAACCAAATCTGTGAACTTCTAGCTGATGGAAAATAACACACCAGAAATGTTATTTGGGGGCAGCAAGAGGAGTTAATATTTTTTCTTCCATGTTCCTAGATTACTGATACATGGCTAGTGCTGAATGAGCAGAAGAGGAAGGTGCAGACATCTCAAGCTGATGTCAACAGCACTGTGTGCAAGTGCAGCTTATGTATGAGTTTTTTTGTAGTTTGTTGGGAAATTTGCAGTTTGAATTATGTGAAATGGAGCTGTGTCCATAGGAAGCATGATTTCTGCGTGCTGGTGGTTCTCAGGGTGCTAATCCAACAGGGAAATAAAAGACCAAGTTTCTTGCCACCTGTAACACTTGCCGAATTAGTTACACATATGACTGATAAATGCATAAGTAAACTTCTGAATAACTGAGATTTCTTACTATTGGGGTAAATAACTACTTGAGCCGCAGAAGTGGCAGGAGAGGTAACGATGTGCTGAGTTCTAAGTGGGCTGGAGGTACACCTCCGGCACGGACAGGCGGTTCTCCACCTAATACTGCAGCTGTGATTTGTCAGATGGATTTGGGGGAGGACAGAAGAAAACAGTTCCATGATAAAAACTGAAGCAAAACCTTGATCTTTAGGCAGAATTTTGTCTCTTAAGCAGTTTGTCTGAAAAATGTTGAAGTGTCAGGTGAAAGCATGACCAGGTTCTGAAAGCTGCTTTAGATTCTTTGAACCCGAACTGGCTCTCTGACATATGCAGCAGAACTGGGACTGAGAACTGTAATTCGGCATGAAGCAGGATGGAGTCCAGCTCTTTTCTGTACAACCTGATTTGGAAGGACACAAACACTAGAAGCAGCAAGGAATAAACTAGTAAACAATTTAGGAGCCATAAAATAGCAACTGTAGTGAGTGGGGAGTTGGGGGCAGATATTTGCTTCTGATCCAACGTGACTGGGTAAGCTGGGTAGCAAAGATCTGCTATTTTAAAATGTTGAATCCAGTACATTTTAGTGACTGGTTAAAAAATGTTTGCACAAACAGCTCCATTGGCAAGTACAAGGGGTTACAACCTTTAGTAAGCAGATGATGGCAAACAGGTGGCACTGGCTTGCTGGATAATCAAATGTGATATCACAACTCTTCGCTTAGTGCACATTTCTTCAGCACCACAGAATCATTCTTTCTGAACTGCTCTTTAAACATCAGCAAAGGCCTGCCATTAATTCAGCTTGACGGTTTGATTACAGCATTTTAACAGCTTCTGAAAAATAATTCAGTTACTGAAGTGGTAAACTTGCTGTCTTGACAATGAAGATAAAGAGCTGCCTCACAGCCAGAAAGGCAGAGCTAATCTTGTAATTCCTGATCTATCTTGGTGTATGGTCACCAGTGCCTGGGTTCAAGTGTGTGATATTTCCTCTCCATGTAAATGCATTCTCTGTCCACTTTCATGGGTCAATAAAACGCTTGAAATCATGTGCAGATATAATTGATATAAAGGCAGGTATGTAGTGAGATGAAGAGTGTCCAGAGCGTTTAAATTTTCAGCTGACAAACCTGTTGAGTATAACCTGTCTATTGCATTTGGCTTAACACTTGAAAATAAGAATGCTTGAAGGGGGGAAAAAATGGATTTAATGTAGTATTACATTTTCTTCACAGACTCTGAAACGTCTCTGGGACCTGCAATGACAAGTCAGAACAGTAGCCATGCAGAGAAAACTGGTGAAATGTCCTCAAAGCAGTCAACACCAAAAGTACAGGTCCAGCGATCTGTCTCTCGAGAAACCATCACTATTCATTTCTCTGCATTTGGGAAGGAGGAAGAAGAGGAGGAAGAGGAGTTTAAGGAATTTCTTGATGAGGAACTAGATGACCAAAGCATTGTAACAGCACTTGAAGCCAAGGAAGACCTCTGCTTTGAGCATACCGGCCATGATTTTTCTGGTCCAGCTACCTCGCTTAACGTGGCCAACTCTGCATCACTGCTGTCCTCATCCCCTGCAGTTCTGCCAACTGCAGAGACTGTGAAGCTGTTGGATTCTCCTTCCACATCCCAAGTATTCAGTGTGGTGCCACCAGTCCTGTCTCCATCACACTCATGTCATACAGTTAGCTCCTCAGGTGCACCACCACCTGTGGAACAGAAATCCAGCCTGTCGTCTTCACCATCCTCGTCCCCTTCCAGATCAGTTCTCTGCTCTAGTGGATCGTCCACAGTTTCTAGTTCAAAGCCTTTTAAGGGTTTAGTGAAGTCCCTTTCAACAGATGTGGAACCAAAAGAACCCACTCCACCGATGCGACATAGACAGTTAATGAAAACCTTGGTGAAATCTCTGTCTACAGACACTTCTAAACAAGAAGCTGAAGCTGTGTCTTACAGGCCACCCGACTCAAAACTGAACTTGCATCTGTTCAAACAGTTCACTCAACCTCGAGCTACAGGTGGTGATTCTAAAACTGCCCCCTCATCTCCATTAACGTCTCCCTCTGACTCTCGTTCCTTTTTTAAAGTACCTGAAATGGAGGCTAAAATTGAAGATACGAAAAGACGCCTTTCTGAAGTAATCTATGAGCCTTTTCAGCTGCTCAGTAAAATAATGGGTGATGAAAGTAGTAGCCACAGGCCCAAAGCCTTATCTTCAAGTGCTTCAGAACTCTCAAACCTTTCCAGTTTGAATGGCCATTTGGAAAGCAATAACAACTACAGCATTAAGGAAGAAGAATGCGATTCTGAAGGGGACTTATGTGGAAGTGACTCTAACCTGAATAAGAACGATCAGTCAAAAGTGGCTGAGGAACACGCAAAAGAGGCAGAGACCAAAAGCTCTCAGTCTGCAAGCACAAAGGATGTGAGTTCAAAAACTTCACTTGTACTTGAAAAATGTTCGTTGTCTGCTCTGGCAAGCAGAGAGGATGAGGAGTTTTGTGAACTGTATTCTGAAGACTTTTCCTTGCTAGAGGACGAAAGCAAAACTGATAAGCCTTCTGAAACTTTGCTCGATTCAGAGGTGACTGAGGAAAATGGTACTATGCTCAGTAGTGAAGATGAAAATAATCCGTATGTGCAACAGCCTAAAATACCAGTGAAAACTTTATACTTCTTAACCCTCTTAGTCTATGCTTACTTTATTATCCCTCTCCCTGGATACTTGAGTGGACTTTTATTTGGAATGGCCCTTGGATTTATGATAGCTGTCTGTGTGATTTGGCTTCTTACTCCACGTACTAATGAATATATCAAATTGCATAACAGTATGAAAAAGCGATGGAATACAGGAGCTCTAGACATCAAAGAACCAGAGATACTGAAGGTGAGGCCATGGCATTTTGCGTGTGTGTCTGTGTGCAATATTTTGGGTAGAAGTAGTAATCTAGAGTTATTCTGAAGGTGTGAATGAGCTGAATTATGCCCGCTTGTAAATACAGCATTGTTTTAGGATCAGGCACTTTGGCAGGGGCACAAATGGTTTGGTGTATCCAAGAACATGTAAGACTTCAGTGTCCTGAAGGATTAGTAGAAAAACGGAATTGCTTCAGAAGTAAAAGGGCAAATGTTTTTGCTGATGGATTTGAAATGATCCACGTGACCTACCAAGAGCAAGTAACAGCACAAGATGCTGTGTAATATGGATTACAGTTCAGTAAAACATGCCTGAGAGCTGGGTTTTAAATCAAGCTCTTAGAAAATTTATCCTCCCTCCTCTTTGCCCTTCCCCACGTCCACTTCTTGTTCAGATACTGCAGAGCAAGTAGTCTCAGAGTTCAGCATGTAAAGTAATGCTGGTGCTCGAAGCTGTGTCTTGTGAGATGTATTTTGTTTCTGTGCTATTTTGCTGTCTAGGTAACAATTTGTCTGTTTTGTTAGTTCAATTTAAGCAGATTTGAAAGCTTTGTGATCAGGAAAAGCATAGATAATGGGAAAGCATATGGATTCTCTTCAAACATTAACTGATGAAAATGGGAGGAGGAATGAGTGATGAAAGGGACATACTCATGGGTTATCATGTCTCTGGTTCTGCGTGCTGCTATCTTGAACGTCGTGCTGTGTAATATGGATTACAGTTCAGTAAAACATGCCTGAGAGCTGGGTTTTAAATCAAGCTCTTAGAAAATTTATCCTCCCTCCTCTTTGCCCTTCCCCACGTCCACTTCTTGTTCAGATACTGCAAGTAGTTGTTGCTTCATACGTCTGGCACGTTGCTGCCTGTCCGGTTGTGATCCATACAATGCTCAGTTATTTCAGTGCCTTTGTGCCTCTTCCTTGTCCGTGTCCTACCTCTCCTAGTTTCTATCTTCCATGAGTTTAAAATAGTATTTTTCTTACTGCAGAATTCTGAACGATAAAGCTACTAGTAGTTGTTGTGCAACAGAAGCGTTTTGGAATGCTGGTGGTACAGCCACTATCACTTGTCAGAGTGTTTGTGAATGCTTTCTTGTATTTGTGTAAATATTAAGTGTCCTGAGCTTTCTGAAGGTGCATCTCCAGTTGCACAAACAACACAAAGGTTGCATGAGTTTAAATCCATGTGGTATTGGATATATGCTGTAGAATCTATAGGGTATTAACAGCTAGTCTCATGCGTCTTTAGGTGACTGAAAAGTTAGAGAAATGGGATATAAAAGCCAACTTCTGTTGAATAGAGGCAGCAATTGCATGCCTGGCCCTGGTACTGCCTTTGTGCTCCCTGTTTTTCTTGAGTGTTATGAGTTGTGGCCTTTATGTGCTGTTGTGAATGCAGACTGAACCCTCCCATCTGCTTTACTTGCTGCTGACATGTGCAAATCTTCACAAATGTTAACATCTGTCCTTATTAATTGGGTGCTGAGACCCTGCATATAAATTCGTGTTGATACTTGGAAGTTGATGAAGATCCTGGTGCTCATTGTTGGCTGCTGTTCAGATGGCTCTCTGAGGTCTTAGCTGTTATGCAGCAACCTTTAAACTGTATTTTAATGCTTTTATCCAGGAGATACTTTTTATGAGAGTGGCTGTAGGCAAGTAATTAACTTTACAGAGAAGTCTGTATGAATATAGATTGTTTTATATGACCTGATGAGTATTTCTTGCACTCACTAACATTATCCTTAGTATTTAAAACCGTATTAAAGGGCTTTTTAACACTTCAGAAGTTTGAAAACCAGCTTATTGCTCGTACTATAGTGGAGCATAACGTAATGTGATGGAGCAGGTTGCAAGTTGTTATTCCCCCCTCATATAACTATTTTCTATTTGCCTCTGTCAAAATGAACAGTTTAGATCCTCTAAATACTGAGATAAAAATTTGATCAGTAACAAAACTCGTGTGAATATAGTCAAATCAAACTTTCTGCTTTTGCATAAAGGTATTCTCTTTAGGGCTTGTCAGTCTTGTATTCTGGCCTGAACTGTTTTCATGCCATTATGATTATGATAAAGGCTATGAGGAAGATCCCTTTATGAGGCTCTAGGAAGTTGAGATTCTGCCAAAATACATGTGTTCAAGTTACGTGTGCATTCTTCCCCATGTGAATATTGTCTGAGAAGTTCACATTTCCCTGTTTTCAAGAACTAGTGGAAAATTCCCCCAGCAATTGCTGAAATTCCGGAATATTGTCTTCCCTAAAATTGTTCCTTTGCAGTGTGAATGAATAAAACACCGCTGTGCTCGTTAGTGGGTGCTTCTGTACATTTCTGTCCTTTCTCCACTTGAATGTCTTTGGTATTGGAGGGAGAACACCCACCCCTCACCAACCAGAAAATGCGCACAGACACCCTGGACCTTCAGTGTGTTTTCTTATCTTCTTTTTCCCTTAGTCTTCGGTTCTCTAGCTTCCTTTTCCTTTTTTAATCCTCTGCCTATGGTTTTTTTTTTTCTGCTTTAATGCATTAGCCTTTCCTAACTTCCTTATTGGCCTTCTCAAGTGTGCATTCCCTTGTGTTGTGCTGGCTGATATAAAAGGTTTTAAGTAACAGCTAAAATGGAAACGATGAATTTACCCTTTCCATTAGAAAGAACTTTTATGAGAAGATACTATTGGCAGTGCCTGCTGGAGAAGTGAAGCTTTTTGAGTCACAGCTGTAGAGAAAGAGGAGGCTTTTTACCAGCGTGCTGTTCCTGAATATCATCCAAGGGATTTAATGTTTCATAGTGGCCTCTGGCAGACAAATGTGTTTTCCAGTTAAGGTGACGGTCACTTCTGCCCGCCTTAGACCTTTTTTGTATCTTTAGATTCCCCGTCAATGAAAGCTCGAAAAACTGTGTTACATTTTTCCTCATTTATCAAGCAAAATACTGAAATGTACTGTAAAATAGTGGTAATGAAAAGGATACTAATGTAATTAGGGTGATTTGAATGATAAACAATCTTTAAAGAGTTTCGGTACTGGAGCATTTGGTTACATCATTTAATGATAATATATATTCATCAATCTAATAATATCACTAAGAAACTCTGGGAGTAGTTTTAATCCAGATTGGATTTGTATTGTGGGGTTGACTTGCTGGTTCTTTTATTTATGTATTTGAAAATGTCATAGAAGTAATATTTTAATTTTTTTTACTTGCAGACCTGGTCTGTGTCCCCAGCCATCTGGGTCCTTTGTAAGGATCTTCTGCAGTTCCTCCCTTTCCTCTTCCAGGTTAGGGTATAACATGCCTCAGTAAGAACTCTGCCGTTCTTACTCGCTTGAGTTATTCAAACTGCAGTTCAGCAGAGTAAAAAATTTGCAGCCCAGGGTGACAGAAGAGGAAAAATAAATCAGGTTGGGCCTTTTAAAAGCCATTTTATGCAAGTGCTTGTGTTGCCCAAAGCCATGTGTTCCCTAAGGGCCGGTTTGGCTGGTAGCGCTGCTAGGAGGGGACCGCTGCTCTCCCAAAGCCAGTTCAGGCTCTGCTCCCTGACAAACAGGCCAGGTCCCGCTACCACGCGTGTGGGATTTTGAACAGTAACTGTGACATTTGCTATAAAATATTGCTGCCCAGTACTCTACCCAGATACCTTTTCAGGTTGGTTACCCATTGGGTGGTGAGGCACTTGGTCCTAATTTCAGCCGTGAATTCAGAGCAACTGCTGACCTTTACAAATGGAGAGCACAGGATCAGTGTAAATGGCAAGCAGCTGCAGAGTAGCGTATGACTATGGTCATTGTCCTCCCTGAATTACTAAATTTCTTATTTTAACAACTTCGCCGGTACAAAAAAGACCCATCATACAGTCACTCCTCTCCTGCACAAGGAAATCCATTGTTTTTTTCGGTAGTTTGGGAAAATTCATCTGTTGCTGCCATGTAATAGTGACAACTTCTCTGTTTAGATGCATAGCAAAACAGTTTCTGTAGGCTGTGAATCTTTCGTTCCAGTTTGTTTTTGCAAGGAGAGGGGCGGAGGTATTTCTGATAAAATTGTTTGTAAAATGCAGGAATTTTGGAATGAATGTTGGAGTTTCTTGGATAACGGTTTCAGAAATGGTTTTTATGCTAGGTGAAACAGTTAACAGAATGAAAACTGCTGAAATGAGAAGACAGATGGTGTTTCCCCCCTTTTTAATGCTTAAATATATGGGGAAAAAATTCCTGCAGGCAGCACACATTTTCGGTTTCGTTATTCCAGTGAAGAATTGTCTTTCGGTGATGTATTAACATTTCACTCTCAGCCATGCAATCAATGTTTCTCTGTGTGACAAAAGGGAAGAAGGTGGCAATCTCCTCTGCTGTTGAGTTGTGTAGGGTAAGGAAATCAAATGTGAGTGTTGCGTAACAGCTGCGTAGCTGTTGAGAAGGTGTAGAACAAAGTTTGTGCATCTGATGCGTGTCCCAAGGTGTTCATGTCATTTGAACTTTCCGTTCTTGAAGCTATGTTAATGGATTTTTACTTGTTGCTATGGCACATGGCAGTCAAGAGAACAATGTGTAAATCCCTCCTTGTTTTCATCGCTGCATGTCCTCTGCTCAACTCCAGCTGGTTCCATCTCAAGCAAGATGTTGGAGAAACTTGAAGGATACTCTGATCTTTGTTCTTGGGTACCACGCACACCCGGAGGTTTCCAGGCCTCATAGCACACTATGGGTATGAAAAGGGCTTGTGTGGCTAAGTTTCGTATAAAGATTCACTTTCCAAGTATCTCTTTCTCTTTGTGCCAGCCTGTAGTGATCTTCAGCTGAACTGCCTTGCTGGAGAGGATGATAAACTTCTGAGGCAGCAAATGTTCATCTGTGTGCTTGCCTGGCTACAGGCTCCAGACTTCGGTGTCTGAGCTAGAAATAGCTTGGAGATCTGATCAGGGGGCAGGTGGGAGTCTCTCCAGACATCCGTGGGCCAGATGGATATTTCAGTTCTGCGCAGAACGAGTGGTTCATGGTTGCTTTAGGCAACTCATGTGATGTCCTTGTGCTTCAGTAAGTCCAGCTGGAGTTAGTTCCTGGATGAAAATTAATTGCTGTCTGCTCAGAGATGCCTTGGCTTAATAATTTCTAGGAAGGAAAACCAAACATCAGCCCTGCTGTGCAGAACCTCAATGGTTTATAGAAAGCTCTTCTTCCTGCATTGTGCTTCCTATAAACCATTGAGGTTCTGCACAGCAGGGCTGATGTTTGGTTTTCCTTCCTAGAAATTATTAAGCCTGTGCGTTGGTATAGATATTTCTGTTAATAAAGGAGGTAGTCTGCTTTGGAGCTGAGCAGGTGAATGACTTAATCTTTCCTGAATATAAAAGAAATGCTAATTTATCAAGGTTTTTCAGGGTTTATAGTGAAAATGGAGCTAGGTCTCGGAGTAAGCAAAGCAGATATCACTGTTACTATGGCACCTATGAAAAATGTGTGCTGTCTACTTTGAGAAATTGTATGGCACTGAGGAAAGTGAGCATTGAAATAAATTTTACATTTCTTATGTGTGGGTGGAAGCTTCTTTAATAAGTTCAAATGTTGAGGTAAGTTCTGGGATGTTTTTTCTGAAGCAGTTACAACTTTTTTATTTTGAAGAACAGAATGCTCTCGCCGCTTCCCAGCAGCGGATGCCCTCTCCCCTACTGTCCTCACCTAGGTATTTGTAAAGATGCCATGTTACTTTATGCTTTAGGGTACGTGTCCTTAGGTTTATCTCCTTTGCTCTTGCTTGATTTTAATGAATAGTGAGTATGCCGAATTGAAGTTTGGATGTGCAGGCGGAAGTAATTATCAAAGTATGTTGTAGGGCAGGTTGAGAGAAGGAAAACTTGTCCTCCTTGAATGAGTGTTCTGGCTTCTCTTCTGCCCCATTTGTTATCTCTCAGTTTCTGTAAGCAGATGTTAGAGAAGAGGGGTAACATCACCCCCATGGTTAGAGTCAGCGCTTACAGACTTGTTCCAGCAGGGCTGGTTTGTTTGTTTTCTGTTTCTTTCACTGCACAGAGACCAATGAAATGGAATCCACAGGTGGGACTCCCGTGTTGTAACTGGGCAGTTACGCAGCGTGTTAAAGGGTGTTAAAACAGTGGTGGTGCATTAAAACAAACTCCGTTGTGGTCTTCCGCTCAGCCCGTAATTACTGGTGATTAAAATGCCAGTGCTGTCTATAAGCTGACAGACTGTTTGCTCTACCTTGGCCGTTTGTGACTAAAAGGTGTGAGCTTGCTGTAAGCGGACACTCTGCAGCGGCCCCTTCCTGGCTGCCTTGTGGCTCTTCCCAGTGAGTCTGCGTCTGCACTTCTCACAGTGTTTCATGAAGATCACTGCACTACACATACAAAATGATTTAGTCAAAAAACCAAACCACGTTCTTGGGACACCGTCCTCATCTTATGCTCCATCAGCCTGGTGCTGCCTCATTTAGGGTGTTTACTGCTTTCTTGTATTTGTGCAGTAAGTGAAATAACTTTGGCAAAGGCTTGGATATTTACTTAAAACTTTTATGTACATGCTGTACTTGGTTTTCCAGAACTTAAAACCCTGTTAACAAATTATTATTTTTTTTTAATCCAGGGATGGATGAATGAAATCTATAATTATGATCCAGAAACATACCATGCTACGTTGACTCACTCTGTCTATGTGCGACTCGAAGGAAGCACCTTACGACTTTCAAAACCCAATAAAAATATTTCGAGAAGAGCTGTGTACAATGAGCCAAAGCCTGAAGTCACATATGTCAGCCAGAAAATTTATGAACTTACAGACAGCAAGGTGAGCGTGCCTTACTTGTATATGATCATAACAAATAATTCTTTGAAAAGTTTTTTAAAATCTTGAGAATTTTTTGTCTCTCCTCTAGTTTCATGTTCTGTCATTATGTAAATAAAAAAACTGTTGTGACTAACTTGTAGAAGGTTGTGCTGGACAGGACAGCCAAGCAGGATTTATTAAAAATTACCTATTTACACAATAAGGGAAAAGCATGATTTTCCTCTGTCAGTTCAGGGCAGAATTTAACACATGGCTGTTCAAAGAGTTGTTCCCCATACAATAGATTACAGTGTGACCGTTGAAGCTTACACCAAAATATATAATCTTTGGTGGTTGTCTCTATCCCGAGGCAGATCAGACAACATTTGCATTTCGCTTGTAGGGGCAATGTACATTGTACATGGGTGTAAAAGAGGAGAGTGAGAGGTGGCTGGTGTGGACACAACTTGCTCTTGGTACCCACTGCCTAGGGAAGGAGACAGGGGCTTTTGTTGTTGGAGCAGTGCATCAGGACTAATGCTGGGACAGTTTTCCCACATTATTTGCCTCCCTCTAGTCTGTGAAAAGTTACCATGTGAAGTTGATTCCATTGGTGTTATATTAAGTAATATGTCAATACCCCATTACTAAAAGCATGGATTTTCTAATGTGCTGTGTCAATAGGGGGCCTTGGCAGTACCGATGGAAGAGGCAGCTGTGCTTGGGTTGGCTGAGGGAGTTAGAGGAGAGGGACCAAGGCGATGGAAAGTCTCCTGCCATTTCCCCAAGTCAGGATGGGAAAGGAGCTTGCTGTCAGCTCTGCTCTCCATGAAAAGCAGATGATGAAAAGGATAAAGCAGAAATTTAGGTCCCTGCCTATTGCAGTTTTGTTTTCCCATAGTGAAGACAGGCAAAACTATCACGCGCTATGAGAGCACTTGACTGACAATTGTTCTTCAAGGTATCTTAGAAAAATTGCCAGTAGTTCCCCCTCTCCTCACCCTCAATTGGTTGCAAAAGTGCTGGGTGCTCTGAATATAATAAGCAAATAAACACTATTCTCCAAGGTATTTACCCACAGTTTTTTGAGAATGTGGGTAAGTTCAGTCTCTAGATTAGCATTTTTAACTCTTACTGCTCTTCTTGTCACTTACATTGTCTCAATTTTCTCTGAATAGATTGAATTTAAAATGTGATACGTAAATAAAGGAACAAACTCACTTTTATCCCTCAATTCTTACATACCTGGTGTGACTATTGGCAACTTCAGGCACTCAATTTCGTGAGATGGGGCCTGTTCTCATTACCTACTCTTGAGGTCACAGAAATAAGCCTCACGTTTTTTCCATTTTTCTGCATAAATATGCAAATAAGGTCTTTTAAAATGAAAACTAAGTTTCTCCACATGACTGTATAGGTATAAGCTACTTGAACGGTCCTTCTTTTAATTCCAAGGCTATGACTCACCCAAGACCTAATGACAGCAGTAAATTGGACGTGAACCAACTTTAAGAGTCAGTTAAACCAACAGATCCAATGTAGAATCTCCGTCTCTCGTGTTCGTGTGTTCTTTATGTGACTACAGAAACAGAGAAGATATACCTGACAAATAAGTTAACCCTTTATTTATCCTTCAGATTTCCCTGGTTCCTAAGAGTCTGGCACGAAAACGGATTTGGAATAAGAAGTACCCTATTTACATTGAACTTGCTAGACAGGATGACTTTATGGCTAAGGCCCAGACTGATAAAGAGAATACAGAGGAAAAGTTATCTGTTGAAAAAGTGGACTTGAACAATGAAGAATCCAAGAAGCCTCAGGAGGGAGCAAAGTCCAATAGCCAAAAGGATCAAGTGCTTTATCTCTTTGGAAGGACAGGTAGGGAGAAGGAGGAGTGGTTCAGAAGGTTCCTTCTCGCATCCAAGCTGAAGTCTGAAGGAAAGAAGCCATCCGGTTTATGTGGGAGCAAGCCAGGTATTCAAATTTTGTATTCTAGTAAAAGCAACTATTAAAAGCAACAAATCAAAGTTATGTTTTCCCAGTGGTAGTTATAGCAACTACGGAGCCTCTGTCATCTCTGCAGATATGTAATGTTGAAGACACTCTTCTGCTCCTTCTCTTGGCTTCTCAGTCCCACCTTCCCACGCTGCCTTTTCCTCTCGAACTATATGCTAGGCCATATGCCCTCGACTATTCTTACTATAGTTAGACTGTTTTCATGAATACACTATTTTTCAGAGACTGTAACAATTCCTGTAATTTTTATTGGGCCGAATTGTTCAATCCTTTTTTTTTATTTTCTCTCTGTACTGTTGGAACTGCCGTCAATTTCTGCAGTATTAGACTCTTACTACCCGTTCTTCCTCCTCCATCCTTCCTTCCACTCCAGTCTCCTGTAAAGGCTAAAGAGTGACATGGGTTCATGTCAAAAGCAAACACATTTTTGCATTTAAATAAAAAGTCATGTGCTTGTATATATCTGAACCAACAATGTTAGTCAACAGTATTGATCAAATGCTTGAAATACTAATTTAAAACCATCTCCTCATACATTTTTAAATCTGAATGACTCATGCTTTTCTGTCTTATCCGTTCTCTGAGAAGCCTTTTAAAAATTGGTTAACATAATTATTTCTGGAATATAACTTCTTGAAATGCAAAATTAATGGCTAATTAAAATTCTAATAGTTACATGCTTTTGACAGTCTTTAATTGTAACAGTCTATAATTAAATAAAAAAAATAAAAATAAGTCTAGGTACATTTTCATCACTTGACTTTTATTTTAGGCTTTCCCCAGCAGGGCAGTTGGGAATTCTGCCATATGTTGTACATGTGCGAGTGTCCATATTTAAATATGCTATCGATCAGCTGAATTCTCAGTCACTCGTCCTGCAGTGTGCTGAATCACACCAAATACTGACTGATTTGGGTTTAGGACCACCTAGGCACACACTAGTGGAATTTACTTTCACCCTTCAAAATGAGAAATCGTTGCTCTGAATGGTGATTTTTTTAGAATAAATTGTGTCTGCAAGCTAATTTTGTTCCTTTAAGTGTTTGATCATATGCTCTGCTCTTTGACTGTCGGGTTCCTTTTCTGTTAAACAGGAATTGTTCCTTTTGATTTAGGGGTCCTGCCAACACCCAGCAGAACTGATAGCCAGTCTGGAATTCTCACACACAGCCGAAGCAGCAGCAAGGGAAGTGGAGAAGAAATTACATCGCAGCCGAAACACAAGGATCTGGCTGGCAATGTACGGCAGAAAATGCTTCTGGACTACAGTATTTATATGGCAAAGTGTGTTCCGCATGAAAAGAAAAGCCCTTCAGGTAGTCCAGTCCTCAGTGCGGATAGCAGCCCCACAGCTGTGAAAAAGGTAATGCTTTTTCCCCAAAAGATGCATCAGAGGTGATGATATATTTTATCTTGTTAACCACTACTTTAAAAATTAGTTATGTGGAAAAAAAATAATTTTTTTAACTAGAGGTTGGATCCAAACTTTTTATCAAGTCTGTAGGTTTTCACGCTTGCCAATTCACTGTTGAGCACAGTTTCTTCTTAATGTAACACGAGTTTTTCCCTGATTTAGTTTGGTTTCTTATCTTGCAAGAATGTCTATGTGTGTTCTGGCCTTTTGCAGTGTATCTACAAAATTGTACAGCTGAAGGTAGTATTGTTGTAAATTTTCTTCCTTAGGAATGCACAGGTGTGTCCTAAAAAACATTGCTCTCAGAAGAACATAGCTGTTATGCTGAAGATTAAAACAAACAATAAGTCAAACAAAACTCTACAAACTTCACTACCCAATAGTAGTAAAAAGTTAAATTCTTCTGTGTTTTGGTTTTTCTTTACAGCTACTCAGAGCTGTAAAAGTAGGTTGAACTAAAAGCATATTTTTGAGGTCCTAGCATGTTGTAACAATTTAAGTGGAATTTTTAGTACTTGGTAGTAAAATTGATACTCATTTTCTGCTCATTGTAGGGAGCTAAAGGCCTTCTGCCATCCCTGAGTGCATCTGAGCACCTGACGGGTACAGAGTTGTAATATAACAGAAATACAAGTTGGATGCTCTTCATAGCAGTTTTTCAGTGCAGATACTACACTATAAAAAAAAATCTGTTTTCAGCCCCACGTTTCGCTTCAACCGTGCACTCTAGATGACCTGAAGCAATGCTTTGTGTCCTGGACCTGAGAACTGGTTTTATGGCGTGTTTCATGCAGGGCTTAACCTCTTCAGTTCCTCTCAAGAGTGATGTCCTGGCCCTGTTGCCGTGAATAGGGTTAGAAATTTGCCTTTAGTATGTATCTGATGATACAGCACTCTTAATAAATGGATCCTTATGTTACATATGATCGCTATTCATTTAAAAGATGAAATTCATGTAATGCTTCTTTGTTGTCAGACTTCCATACAGTGTCCATGAAGGAACAGGAGGCCATGGTACAGCATACAAATAAACACATCTTGTGTTCCTCAAAGATAAAAGTTATTCTAGCCCCTGACAACCCCTGAAGCAGCGATGAATTCGCTGCTGAATCTGGCACGTGTCAGAAATTGTTCTATAAATAGATCAACAGTGCTGGCAGGAAACTTGCGTCACAGCAGAAGCTACTAACCCAGCAATTCTGCCGGCGTGCGGCTGCAGCCATCGGGAGCAGTCGCTGCCAGGAAAAGATGTTCAGAACTGTAGCATCTACCTGGCTCCTCTTAGAAAACACGGCTGCTCTGCTGGCCTCACGATATCTGCCTGTAATAATCAAGGCAGATTCTCCTTTCGTTGCAGGCAGTTGAGAGACATTAAGTATGTTGTCTTCATGGAAACCTCCTGGTTTTAATGAAATGCATGGTAGCATGCTAACATGCAGAATTATTTCAGATGCCGTTACCTTCGTGCAACATCTGAACATCTATCTCCAGGTGTTTTGAGACCAAGACATAATCTTCTTGGACTGTAAACTTCAATGCAGCAGAAGGAACAATATGGTTTCCTGATTCTTATGTACAAACACTGGAAGGAAGAATTTGTTTCCGTGTACTGTATCTGTTTGTCATCTATTTGTGATGTTTTTGAACTGGATTTAAGGATCTAAGATTGGCTCTTGTCTTCCTATTTTTTGATAAAACGAGAAGAGTAGTTGCTTTTCTAGATCTTATTAGAGAGTGTCTCTACTACAGCTGCACTTCTAAGTCTGCCCACTCTGGCCTTATCTGCTTTTTATGCCAGAGGTTGTATTACACTGAACTTTCTCATTGCATTGCCGGAGGTGAATCTATATCTGTGTGGTCTCATTCACTCTGTTACATGTCAGGATGATGACAAGCAAGCTCATGTCAGGCTGGCTGATGTGGTTGTAAAGCTGCTCTCTGTGCTGAGCATTTAGTCTTCCCAGCTAAAATGGGCTGTAACACTGAAGTTCCCAGTGTAAATGAGGCCTCTTCTGACCTTAGTTGATGGAATTTATAGAGTTGAATAACCTGCTCTTTGTTTTCAGTTACCAGAGTCCCACGTGGAAGCGGAAGAAGAAGAACAGGAAGCCTGGGTGAATGCTTTGCTTGGAAGAATATTTTGGGATTTTTTAGGAGAAAGGTATTGGTCTGATCTAGTGTCAAAGAAGATCCAAATGAAACTTAGCAAAATAAAGGTAACTAATCTGGAGAATTGCACTACACGTTCCTTATGGAGGAAAGCAAATATACAGTCTTTGAGTTTTAAAACAGTAGAAGAAACACTTACTTCCCACTTACCTGTAAAGGACAAGTAAATAAATGTGATGCAGAGTTCCAGTTCAACTTTGCTATCTGTTTCGTAGTAGGATCTAACATGTTAACTTTGCTGCTTTGGTTTCAAAGGAACTACAGCTGCATTAACTGTATGTGAAGTGTTTATGTAAAAAATTGAAGTATTACTGCATTTACTTTAGGTGTAAATAGCACTGCTTATGAAGTATGAAATCTGCTTTGGGAAATAGTGGATTGCGTTTAAGATGGAGGAGATCAGGGAACCGCAATTCTGGTGTGTTCCTGTTCACTTCAGACGGACACGACTTGCAGGAGGGGTCAGGAGGAGTAACAGCCAGAGAAAGAGCTGTCTGTGGGGCGATAGGAAATAATTGTGCATCAGCTGCGGGAGCTCAAAGGGTGAGGGGAGGAGTGATGCTTTTGAGTGACTTCTGGGTCTTCCCTTTGCATTCTGTAACTCTGCTGAACAGCAGCAGTTAATCACAGGCCTGTTATTTGGGGAGGAGTTTCCCTGTTCCTAAAGGCAAAGGAAGATGTAGTCTTACTGACAAAAGCTCTGAAATTTAGCTGCCAGCACCAGCTGTGAGATAGTGTTGCTTGTGCTTTGGGAAATAAGCAGTAACCTAATTCTGCCCTCGCTGTTTCCACAATTGTGACAGCAGGCTACCCAGACATCTCACTGGGAACAGTTCTAAGTGGAAAGACTGGGAATGGGGGACGGATATATTTCTGATAGGTTAAAGCACTGCCTGTTCACAGGAGAATTCCTATCAATTAGAAATGCTTATAGTAAATAGAAGCCCAAATCATCGTGGTTCTGTAAAGCGTAGTTTTAAAAACCTTCAAAGTTCAGATGTTGAATCTCTTTCTGAAATATTCTTTTGAAACGGATAATTGTGAAATCCTGGAATTGGAAGAAATGTGTGTAATCGTATTTATGTTCTCTCACTGGTGGCTTTTTAGCTCAATCCATTCTTCAAAGTTTAATGATCTTTTTTCTCTTAGGAAACAATGATGTTTACTTCCATAACATGGATTTGATTTTTACGTTCTGTTCTTACAGCTGCCATATTTCATGAATGAGCTAACTCTAACTGAGCTTGACATGGGGATAGCAGTGCCGAAGATCCTTCAAGCCTTCAAACCTTCCGTTGATCACAGAGGTAAAATACGTACATCTGGTTTTGACAGGTTCATGCCTTTGTACTCACAGAGAACAGAATTTTCATCCGTTTATCTTGTGGGTGTTTAATTTTAAATTGTTTCTGAGTTTATTAAGGGTTTCTTAACTTGTATCCTCTCACTGTGTTGGTTACCCTATTGTTACACTGAGCTGGAGAATTGAAAGAGAATTATTAAACTCAAGGTGGAGAAGTTTTTAATTGGTCTAAAGGGAAATATTTCCTTGGAGGACCTGTTGTGGTGCTGGTATGGATTGCATGGCGAACAGCTTATTTTTGATCTTAAACTGCTCTTTCAACTCTTATATGAGGATATCAAAATAATTTCTAGATGGTGCTTAAACTAAAAAACTGGTGGTGAGGTGGTAGGAGTTTAATGAATATACAGTACTTGGTAAGAATGTTAAGAGCCCTCCAGAGAGGCTCTAACTTACAGGCCAGCAACGAGCCAAACTTCAGCAAGTCTTAATAGCATATTTAGAACAATAACAATAAACATGGACAAAGCGAAGTTTGAAGAGATGACTAGCTGAAAACGTAACAGGATCTGTCTTCACTAGGAGAACAGACTCTGGTGTTTATCCAGTATCTCCTCAGAGCATGCGGGTGTTGCACACAGAGCAGGGATACAGGACCGTGGCCTTTCTTGCGGCACTGAGCTCAGAGGCTTTGGGGGGGTTCTCTTCACTGGGGTGGTTTGTCTCTTCAGGATCTTGATTCTGGACCCTGAAGGCCCTGGTTCCACTCACTGTTCTTGAAGGTCAAGCAATAGTGGTAGAATTCAGTGATGGAATTTGGCTGTGCACGTATTAGATAATGAGACAGTTTCTGCTTAGAAGCAATTTAGGCTTTGTCTTTGCTCCTATTACATAGTTTGAACCTGGTCTTTTTAAGGTTTATTGAACTGTAGTTTTGATGTAAGACTCGTTATCTGCTGCTCCTACTACAGTGCTCTTCTTTAACTCAAATGAACAGTTGTCATCAGACTTTTGTGTGAAATTTAGGAGGAAATAAAGAAACTTTATCACTAATATTAAAAATACTGTGCCATTCAAATCACAAACCAAAACCACGGCAAAGTTAGTAACATCTAACCTTTCACTTTGTGGAAGTGTGAACAAACAGACTTTGGGGAATTACTAAAATTCCCTTGGATGTACGTAAGGTGTTATCTAATGCAGCCTGTTGTATCCAAATGCTGTTGTTTACCCTTTTGTCACTAGAGATTTGCAGCTCTTTGGGGAAGAGCCTTATCCATAAAACACTACGTACTTTGCTCTCAACTTCTTGAAAGTGTATTTTCCACTGAGCTTCATAAACAAAGCATGTTTGAGAAGAGTAAATTGTTTTGTTGTCATGAGGAACAAAAGCTGTCTTTTAAGAGAAATTAAAATGGAATAGATGGAATAAGCTTATGTGCAGTGAGCGTTTGGGGAACTAAAATGTCCTGCTGCTGCTTGGCATATGCTTCCTCTGTGGGACAGTGGGCTCTCCCCAGTACTTAGGATGTCCTCCAGTGTTCCCGGTAGCAAATTGGTAGAAATTTTTATTTTGTGTTACAGAAAACAAAGTGAAAACTTATTTAAAGCTTTTTTTTTTTTTTAAGTCATTACATGTATAATGCTTGCCAAGTGGTTTATGGTTTCTTTTTAAATGAACTTGTGCTTTGGGGTTCTTGTCAGAGTGTTTCCCTTTGCCTAGATGTAAACATTTTTTGAATTCCTTTTTCTGTTCTCATAACTTTAGTTGTAGCCAGAGACTGTGGTTCAAAGTCATGAGATGGGATTTAGGAGACTGCTGAAGACTTGGCTTAAATTAATTGCCAGCAACAGCAGTGAGAACAATTAACTCCTTCAGTTTTTTGTTCACCTAAACTGTGACAAGCAAACATTTAGGGTAGAATTTGTCATCCTTGTAACTTCCTTCCTATTGCTGAATGACGTATGAACTCTTAGAATCTGAGTTTTGAAAAGCTTGCAGTAAGTACTTGCTGAACTAGTGTGTTTTGCTGTTGTGTTTAAAAGGACAACCAGTCATTTGAGATAGTCTTTAGTGAGGGTTTAAAATGCAATTACTAATTGCGAAGTGCCTTGTTTCATCCATACTTTCTTACTAGTGCTTGTTTACAAGGAAAATATTTTTTTGTTATATGGCTCCTCTAAGTAACTAAATTTAACTGACAATATTAAAGGAAAATAAAATCTTGTTTGTGTTAATACAGTCCTATTTGGGTGAGAGCATATGCTGTAGTATTCACTGTTCTTCTGTCAAGGGTAGAGAACCAGATAACTCTGAATTAATTGTACCATCTGCCCAATTCTTCACCCCCTCTCCCTCCCCTACCTCCCCTTTTCCCTCTGGAAAATGCATATGGACATTTTCTGGCCAGAAGGAATTTTCCCTCTCAGTAATGGCATCCTTTTGCTTAATTTGTTCTGCTGTTAAAACAACATTGACGTTTGAAGCCTGGTGACTCATTGGTTGTCCAAAAGATCTGTTCAGCTGTTTCCTTGTTTGTGATGGTCTTACTAGTACTTCCTTACCGCAAAGAGGAAAAATCTCTATTAGCCTGTGTTTGAGTTCTTGTGGTTTGTTTTGGAGCAGCAGTAGAAAAAACTGTATGATGAGAAAGAATAATTTTGCTTAGTAAAGAAGCAGCTTCCTTCAGTACAACTTCCAATGTGTAATCTCATAGGGTGTTGGTGAGCTGTGTTTGGGAGCTGTGTGTTTCTGTCAATACAAATGGGTGAGACTGGGGACGTCATTCTTCTGGTATGTTTTTGCCGAAAAGGAAAGAGTTGTTCTTTAACTGAAAAGGTGTGTCTTGTCTAGATCAATCAAACCTAAAGTGTAGTTACCATCAGTTGCTTCTGAATAAGTAAATAGAAGTTGCATGCATTAGTGGTTGGTGTCCCAGATAATAGTAGGGTGCATTGTATGCAACTGCAGTGTCTGGAAAAGGAAGGTGCATAATCTCTGCTTAGTGGTATGTGATTTCTCATCTCTGGATCACCAATACCCTACAGCTTTTTTCAATCGATGGGACTGCAGGGTGTCACTTCCGAGGCAGGACCTAATCTTGCAGTTATTCCCAAGACAGTTCTTTTGGTGATTGCCATAAATGAGTAGTCTGTCCAGACGACAGGATTAACTTAAAACTACACATCTAGAATTATTCTAAGTAATGACCCTGTCTACTGTGAGTCACACCTGCAGCTGGATTACTGAGCAAACCTTTTCATATACTTTCTCGAAACATCATTGTCGAAGGCAAAAGACACTGCAGGTTGGGATGTGTGAGGACCGATACTGCTCTGCGATTTTAAGTTTTGCTTCATTTGGACAGTGTGAGTAGAATCATAGATTATCATAGAATCATAGAATGGCCTAGGCTGGAAGGGACCTTAGAGATCATCTAGTCCAACCTCCCTGTCGTGGGCAGGGACGCCACCTCTCGACTAGACCAGGCAACACATGGGGACCGAGCAGAAATCAAACCCGCGATCTCGGTGTTGTCATTGTTGTCAGCACCGCACTCAAACCACTGAGCTAACCGGCCCCCTAATATAAAGGAGTGTCCCCATGACTGTTTGGCTTGGAGTAGTACTGTAAGTAGTTTTGAAGGGAATCCCTGGTTGTATTCTCTTTTCTTTATCTTGATTCAGATCTTTGAAGCAGTTAAGGTGTGCATAAATCACACTCAATTTTTTTAGATCATTAACTGATCTCTCAGCACAGCTTTGATTTCTATCTGAACATTTAACTTTGGTCCATAAACTTAATGTGAACAAAAAACTTGCTTTGATGGGTTTTTTTTGTTATTTGTAAATTAATGACATAATCAGTTGACAAAAAGGTAGTTTTTCTCCTCGGAAAAAATGTGATGTATAGACTTTTTTTTAAAATTTGGCTTGACCTTCAAATAAAGTGATCCCGACAGTCCTTAAAGTGCCATCTTTTGTTGTTGTTGTTAATTTTAGGACTTTGGATTGATTTGGAAATGTCCTACAATGGATCTTTTCTAATGACCCTGGAGACCAAGATGAACTTGACCAAACTTGGTAAAGAGCCACTTGGTGAAGCGCTTAAAGTTGGGGAGATTGGCAAAGAAGGGTAAGCTGTTACAAAGATAGAGTTAAGCAAGAGCTTTTATATTGAAAACGTGAAAATTTCGTTGTGCATGTGCAACTCTGACTGTGCAATGACTTGAAAGGAGCTAGAGGGATGCGTATGTGTAAGTGTATGACTTGGCCTTCCTGTGCAACTTCAGTGTTTGATGTCACCGTTGATAATTGTCTTTAAAGGCTTTTGTAGTACATTAATTTTTACATAGATTCGTATTTTAGTAGGATTTTAAAATGTTCTGTGACTAAAGTTTAGTTTAGTTTTACACTTGATTTGGAGTGTTAGCCAGTAAGACATGAATATTGGAGATTGACACATGTCATGTGCTACAGCCACAAGTTGTAAACCATGTGGAAGGTAAATAGTCTGTAACTGTTACGTAAAGACTTTCTCAGTAGCTTTATTACATCATGGGAGTAATCAAAGCCCTAGTTTAGTCTCCAGTTTTTCTCATATTCCACTTCTATTTACCTGGTACGTCCAAGTGAAATGCCTTACAGCTGAACTAGTTAGAAAGCACTCAGACTGTAACTTACCTCACTTGTATTTGTGCTCTCCCTCTCATTTTTATGATGTTTGAATTTTGTCTGTTTGTCCATTTATATTAACCTGGTGAGTGACACCTGTCAAATCCATCCTGTCAGTTGTGGAGAGTTTGTTCTCTTTGCGCTGTATTCTCCTTGTATTTAAGAAGCCTGCAGTCCCTGAACAGTAAGTGGTCTCTGATTGAGTGTACAAACACTAACAGCAAATCAAGAAAATACTAAGTCTGGCCATTTGTTCAGATATGAATAAAATGTTGCAGCATTTCAGAATTAAGATACTAGCTTTTCAGAATTAAGATTACTGCATTGTATACTCATGTCATAGCTCTGACTGTTTATTCTGAGGTATCTTGAAGTAATGCAGCAGCGCCGTATTACAAAGCAGTCACAACAAGAAAATAAATGTAAAAAAAATAATGGCTGAGTGATCTTGTACACTGGTAAAAATTCAGAGGATTTAAAATCGGCCTAGAATCTCATTGTTACTGCTTGAAATAAATATTTCTGAATTTAGATTGGTGTAATTGGTAGGTGTGTTTTTTGAAAAATGGCTTTAATCTTGTCCACCACCCGAAATGGGGGATAGAGAAGGAAATGCCAACACAAACAAATCTTGCTTTTCTTCTCTATCCCTTCAGGATTTTCTCCATGTATTTTTATGTCTGTCTAGTGCAAGAACAGCGTCAGAAATAATTAGTGAACACATTTATTTCATATTTAAAAATCAGCTTGCTTCTAGCTGAGCAATAGGCCCGCGGTAACCCAAATGTAAATGTCTGTAGCTAAGCAACCAATTACTTGAAGGTAGAAGCATTAACCGTGTTGCTCCCGGCACATGGCTGTGATGTTTCACATGCTCAGGGCCAGGTACCCCGCCAGCTTTACATAAGAAGTCTAATGTATTCTAGTTTGAACGAGGGTTTTTTAGTTGGTTTTTTTTGTTCTTTTTTCCCCACCTTAAATACAAACAAAGACCCTGAGAAGCCTAGAACAGTTTGCTTCTCATCTATATATCTCATTGTGTTAGTTAATTTTACTGGCTTTTAAAATTATCAGTTGGCAATTGCTGTGGCAAGTCAAACTATTCTGCATGTGCATGCATGCAGTCGTATTGTCCATAAGTGATGATGTTGGGTTGCTTATGCTCATTTCCATCCCTCAAAAGCCTGGAACAAACCTCCTCTTGAGATGCAGTAACCACAAAGTCATGTAAGAAAGGCATCTGCTCATCCAGAAAGAGGAGGGCGAGGAAAACAGCGCTGAGTTTTAACTGCCCTTGGATGTTGTCAGTGTAAAGCGAGACAAACGGCTCAATGTTGCAGCCCGTTCTATCCCTGCTGCTGCGTTACTGCTTGAAATAGAAGTGTGCTGTTCCACAGTTGGATAATGCTGGCTTGCGTGCACTCTCGGGAAAATGCAGCTCTCGAAAAGGGTGGAAAACTAAATAGTTGCCCATTTTATAAAATTAATATGGTAGCAGATTAGGCAAATGCAGGCAAGCTAACCCAAAGTTACTGCCGTTCCTTACCCCATCAGTCATTTTTGTTAGGTCTTACCATGTAAAAACAAAACAACAAATGGCAATTCATAAAATATTGTGCAATCTGCTCAGGAACAATACGGTAGCTCCAAAGTGTTTTTCTGCCAATGTTTGTGTCGTATAAATGGTCCATTGTATACGGAGATCCCCTGAAATCTCACTCAAGCTTATTTATTGTTGCTTTGTTTAATACGAGGAAATCTTGTGGTCTTATTAGCCAGTCAGTTCAGTGTGCACACTTCAGAGGGCCCCATTACCTGGGCAATGGAAAACCTTCTTGTGTGCAGGTGACACCTCTGAAAGCTTTGAAAATGCACTGAGTGTGCTTTGAACTGGGTGGTACGATGTGCACAGGAGAATGAAGTGAGACTACACCCAGGTGGAAAGCACGTGGTTTGGATCTGACCTAAAATTGGGAACTTCTTTCCGAGCAATGGCTCCAGCGTTGCTTTTCGGGCCAGGTAGACGAACCACGCACCGCTCCCTAAGTCCTGGGGGAGGTGGTTCCCTTCAGCGTGCTGTCTCACTCTTCCGCACGTACAGAATGTATCTCTGGCTAAGAATAGGACCTTTGCAACTCTGATTCCAAAGCTTGGGTAGTGAATTCTGCAATGTAGAGAGGTCGTGGGACTGCTGCTCCAGTTCTTGACGCGGCGGTGAGGAAGGAGTGCCGTGCCCTGTGCGCTGTGCTCCAGCTGTCCTTTTGCATTAGCACCTCGTGCAGCAACCAACAGTTGGCTTGGTGCATGGAATAGCAGGCGGCAGCCTCAGTGAGTGCCCTGTGTGAGGTTATTTAATGCTTCAAATAAATTTCCAAGAACACACACAGAAAAAGGAAGGGGGAAAAAAAAAAGAAAATGCAGCTATAAACAGTATTCTGAACAAGCTGTGGAATATTATGGTCTTGTGTATAGTCCCTAGGGCTAAAACCATGTGCTGTTGAAGCATGTGTTGTGCAGCTAGCTCAAGCTCTTGCATTTGGTAAAGATCTGTTAATACTGAAGCGTATTCACTGCATCCTTGCCTAACTGTAATCCGTTTAAAAGATTTGATTTTTTTTTCTAAGATTAGGTACATGTATTCTTCCGTAGTTGAAGTCTAGGAATTAGTTACTACTATGAGACATTTTGTATCCTAAGAGAAGCACTTGTTTCATTTTATTAGTTTCCTTTTTTTCCCCTCTTCTCCTCATGACATTCTCTGTTTTATTCGATCTTGGACTCTATTCAGAAAAAACCTAAATCTTAAATCCTGTAAATATAATTCACTGTGTCAGAGGAGCTTGAAACTTCACAAGCCTGAAGGTTAATTTCCCT